CCGGCCGCCCCCGCCGCCCCCGGCCCCGGCTGCGCGGGTACCGGCGGTTCCCCGCGGCGGCACCTGGGGAAGCCACCCCGGGGCCGGGGCTGAGCCCTGAGGCACTTGGTACAGGGCGGGCAGGGAGGAAAGGCGGGGGTCTGCGTGCTGCCAGCGGCAGCTGTGGAGGAAAAAAAATGGTCATTGATTTTCACGGTACCAGCAGGGAGAAATGGGGGAAAAAAACCGGCCGACTGTGTTCAGGGTTTTGTTGTTTTCTTTCTGAGAAATGTGGATGCCAGCTTGTGTGTGTTGCTCAGCACTTGTCCCTTTCCCTTCTGATACTAGCTGTTATTTTTCTCCTGGGAACCACTTACTTCAGTCGTCCTCGTTTTTCTTGGGAGCCGGTGTGACAGCGTAGCTGGAGCTGAGGATAACTTACCAGTGTTTAATTCCTCTGCCCAGTCGACAAGTGGCTAGCAATCTGGTAGCATCCTGAAACGAGCTTTCCTAGAAGGCTAATTTTTTTTCCCAGGCAATTGGAGCAGACTGTTCTTCCTAGATAGCTGGTTCTCAGTGCACATGTTCCCTCATGAAAACAGGATTATTTTTTTAAGTGACAGAAGCAACATTAGGATCTTGTTCCACAACTTGATGCGTACCAAAGACCAAATTAATTTCGCCTAGGCAGGGATTTATCTTTTGTTTTCCTCTTCTGCTATGTGAAAACACAGTGCTTCCGGAAGATAAACTCCAAGGCGAAGGCCAAGTTGTTTATTTTAGAAGTAACTCGCGTTAAAAATTATACTGGTATGGGGCAGTGCGCTTGTTTTGAATCATGTATCTGGTGGATGTGCCTCAGATCTTGGAGCATCCTGGTAGGTTAATGTAGCTGAATGTCTTGGCTTGTTCGGACACTGGGCTTTCCATCCTGTACTTAATGGGGATCGTAAGGTTTGTGAGCTATGTGAGTATTTCGTGCCCCCCACCCCAAAGTGTTGCCCATGAAAAATGGTGACATCCATCAACCTGAATGAGAACTAATAAATGAAGGGCTGAGATTTTTTGCATTTTCATTTGTTTATTTTGTTCTCTACTAGTCATAATGGGAAATGCAAGAAATTCCATGCTAGGTGAACATAAGAAGTAATGGTAGCATAGTAGCTGCTGGGTAGGTCATTTTGCTATCAAGCAGAGCTGTAATTCCATTTGAGAATAGGCTGTGTTGTTTTTGAAGTGATTGCAAAACTTAAAATGTTCTGAGCACATGGACATAGTCATTTAAATGCCTGAGGGGTTTACAGCACTCTCTAGTACCTGTATGAATTCCACTTTCATCAAAGCAGTAGATATGTGTGTATCACAAATAGCAAGTTACCTGCAAAAGAACACTTGGCGGTAAAATAGAAATATTCAGCTCTGCTACATCTCCAGTGGCTTTCCAGGGTTGCATTATCACTAGCGAGCTGTTGCACGCTTGCTGTTTGACATCAGCAGACCCGCTCAACTGCTTCATAGTTACAGCCAGGTTGCACAATACCACGTGTGTTTTGGAGGCTTCCCTTTGTGCCAGAGGAGCCTGTAGGCTGTATAGCATCTGCTTGTCATTCCTGGCTGGAGATGGCCATAGGGCTGAAATGTGAGCAGGTCACCAAAGTGTGCTTCCAAACAAGGCAAAATCAATTTGCCAATCTTCTTGACCCGAGTCTGTAAATACAGAAGATTGATCAGGATGATGATGGACTTGCGGTCTAGTCTGGGAGACTGAGTGAGAAAAATGTCTGTTGGCCCTGCCCGGTGTAGTATGCACATGTTAATGCATGCAGTGCTGAACACGCCAAAGATGGGCTGCTCTCGTAAGCCGTATTGATGACAAATAATGTTTTTAGTTGAATCAGTTTTGCAGGTGACCGTCGCTATAGATGATGATTTATTTTTCTCCATCAATTTGTGGAGAAAAATAATCTTTATTTTAAGAATGTGTGCACGCATGATAAATAGTATATATCAGTAAAAAGTGTAAGTTCTATGTGGTCTCTGCATTCACTGGGGGATGAAACCAGTTGAATCATATGTATACACCGTTAAATCATACATATACATTTTGTAGTATGGTACTATAAATGGAAGAGATGGAGGATATGTTGCTATTAGCACTAAGCGAGATGAATAATTCTTTTGAAGGTCTGGAATATCAATGATCCAATTGAAAATGTGTCAGCTGAGATGAGTCATGTGTTAGCCTCATTCAGTGACTAAGAAATGGAACAGCCATCGATGTCCAAGCTGAGTCACAGCTTCTGCATATTCCCTGAAATAATTTTTGATTGATAATGATGGAGCAGCTGAAATTGCTGTGTTTGTTTGTATTGTAATTTGCAGTCAGCAGAACACTAGTATACATACTGCTCAAAAGATCAGACAAGTAGCTAGAACAAACCGAAGCAGTATTTCAGATAGGGTGTGTGAATAAGGAATGGTGTCCTGTAATTACCTCCCTTTATTTTTCTTTCCTCCGTTATAATTATTTCTTCTTTGTGCTGCTATACATGTCTGTCGTGAGGAATGAGGCAGAAGTGACCCTTCTGACTCTGAGATAACAGCACTTTAAAAAACTGGTAGCAAATAATAGACATCGTAAGTATAGCAGAGCAGTGGACAGTATTTTTTTCTTTCTTTCTTTTTTTAAGATTGTCAGGCAATTTGCTGGCCAGGAGTAAGAGGAAGGATTTTAAGAATGTAAAACTCGGTGGTCCTCTTATGTGCTCTGTTGTATTTCATTAAGACTCCACTGAAATTAATTAATACTGAAGTTGAATAAGAAAGACAGATCAAAAGCAGCACCTCTCCAAACCGCAGCGTGAAGGATGGTCTGCATGATTTGGTATTTGGCATCCTGGAGTGTGTGGGACAGAGCAAGGAGAACCAAGTTGACTGTTGCTGGTCTGATGGTGAAAGAAGTCTAGAATACAGCTTTCTATCTGCAGGACTTTCCACACTTAAAAAAAAGAAAATGAAAATGCAGCAAAGCTTAACCACAAGCATAGCAAATAATATTCAAGATGCTCAAAATTGGTGTTAAGGCAGAGCATTGCAGACTTAGAAAGTCAGATTCAAAGATACTTCCATGGTTGATAAAATCTGCCTCCAGAGATGCACAGGTAATTCAGTCTATGCAGTTCACACCAATATCCCTGCGCTTTCATGGAAAGGTTCTTGCAGAACCCCCCCGTGAATGTATTGATCTTGGTCATTCGTATCCTTCCCTATCTTCACTTGCATCCAGCTCTTGATTTAGGATTAAAAACACACGACTGCAAGAAATTGTGCACTTCTTGTCACTGGGTGACTTCGCATTTACACTTCTCCCTCTGCATATGCCGTTACTTCAAGTTCAGGAGTGACTTTCTCTGGCTACACACCAGAAGAGGCTGTGCTGGTTTGTACTGATACAAGAAATAAATTGTGCTTATTCTCTAAACCCATCATTCTTCATGAGACGTATTTTCTCGTGATATTCTGTGCAGCCAAACTTCCCTTTTCCTGTGCCTGCTGTAGGTTGAATCTCAATGAAGGATGTGGTGAGGTCGGGTGTCTCGGAGGTAGTTAGTAAATATCTTTGGGCCCTCCAGGTTATTCAAAGGGGAAAAAAAATATAAATTGCTGGTTTTGCCATACAATGTAGTTGTGCTTTCAGGTCTATTGGTGTTCATAAGGCTTGTTCAAATTTGGCAAGTAAAATAAAACAACTTATTTCTGACCTTATTTGAAAGTGGAGAAGAATGGAAACAAATGCATGTACGTGAGAGTAACAGGGATGTGACAACATGTAGATGTATAGGAGATTAAAGATGAAGTGACTGAAGAGGAAACTCTCTGGAAAGTGACTAGAAATGATTAGAAATGCTGATCAACACTCTCTGTTCCAGCTAGTAATTAAAATGATAAAAACATGTGACTTAGGTATTACGTACCTTGTGTAGTGTTTTTTCTCTCCTTATCACACCTGTTCTAGTATCAAGTCTTGTAAGCTCACTGTAATAGAGATGAGCTCTCTATTTTATTTAATATTGCTGCCTTTTATTGAGGATAAAGGCAGACGAAAGAGAAATGGGACTAGAACAGAACTGAATTGCTAGTATTATGTCATTAGATGCAAAACTGAATATGTGCCCTTTCAAAAATTGTCTGACAAGTTATTTCGTAAGAATAAATGTTTCTAGAAAGAGCTGCAGTAATGTATTTGTAATCATATGTCATCATCAAATAGCTATGGTCTTTGCCATATCCATCTGTCTGCTTGTTGCCTGCTTGTTATGACGTCACGGTGCGTTGTTCCTACACAGGTTTCCGCATCACAGTTCTGTCTCCAGCTGCCCTTTCTTGCAGGAAAGTAGAAAAAGTTAACTTTTTGTAAAATGCTTACAGTGTGGAAAGATGTATTCAAAAGATCATGACTGAAGCTAATGTACACAGACAATGGGTGCCACCATGTATGTTCTGGGGTTTTTGGTTTTGTGGTTTTCTGTTGTTTTGGTTTTTTTTCCCCCCCAAATGATGGCTGCCTTGCAAGCATTTTGTTATTTGGAATTTCTCTTTCATTACCAGCCTTACAGTGGCAATGTAGGAGGTGGTCATAGCCACTGGATAAGAAGTGGCCTTTCCAAAATCATTTCAAAGCTCCCAACTTAATTGTGCCAAACCCCTCCTAACTGTCCATATGGTTAATGTTATGAGCTTTGTGTATGAGCATGTTGGGGTTATATTTTGGTTTAGTTTTTTTATTTTTAATTTTTCTCCTGAGTTTGTCAAGCTAGACTGTCAGTCACGTTTTAAAAAAAAAAAAAATCTATAATCTTGCTTTTACAGAGTTAAAAGTTGTGGGTTCAGGTTGCTCTTAAACCCTCCACCACAGTTACAAATACTTACATTTGGTGGAATTCCCGCCCCCCCAGTGACCTACATCTCATGAATGCTGTCTTGTCTTGGTGCTTCTGCTGTGTGTCTACTCTGTCTTTTTGTTTGTTGGGTCTGTTCAATTTGTTTGTGTCTTGATTAGCATCTGACTAAAGCTCCATCTTATAAATACTTGTGCACGTCAGTAATTTTATGTATCCAAGCAGTTGCTGGTATCATATGCATGAGTAGATGAGTAGGACTGGCTGCGTGCATAGCTTCATAGAGTCGAGGGAGTTAGTATGCAGCAATTTCAGCTAACAATAAATACAGGGCTGTGTTTTGGAACAATGGATTAATGCTGAGGCATATTTTAGCTAGTTAGGAGTTTTAGAAGTTTTAACTATGTGTGGCATTTGTGCCAATAATCAGTATATGCACATAGTAGATAAACGGTCCCCTTTTTTTTTTTTTGTGACTGCCTAAAAAAACACAGTATTTTACTTAATAAAATTGGATAGCATATAAAAGACAAAGAAAAGATGCTTCAAGGTTTTTGCAAAACTGAGACTACAGGGGAAAACCTGTATTTTTTTCTGAGCAGCAACTCTGAGGGCTCCAAAGACCTAAACAACCTTTGCAAAAGTGTACAAAAGTGATCCAGGAGGAACAGTTTTAAAACAACAGCCTATCTTGTACTTAATAAGTTCACGTCAAAGTTTGGACTCCTGCCTGGGATGAACACCAGATTCATTCCTGGAGTCACATCAGAGGTTAGGACAGTTACATCAGGTTGCTCTTGGCCCAAAACATCTATAATGTGTGAGGCTTGGGGTTTTCTTCTTAAATTGAACTGGGTTTATTTGTCAGCTAGTAATGCATTCCTAGAAATCATAATGTTTCACTGTATTGAATTTTTAAATGCCCTTTGAATTTCTACGTGTGACTCCTAAACAGTCTTGTAAGCTTTGGGGCTAATGACAGATGTGGTTGCCTTGCACGTGTACTCTTCTGCTCAAGGCCTGTACAGCACGGTGTAAAGTCAGTCTGTTCCATGCATGAAGAATGTCAGTGTCTGCTGGGTCCCTCTTATGCTGTGGAGCCGAGGTTTTTAATGCTACCCTGAAGTTTTCTGGCTTTCCCATCACTCAGGTCAAGTTTTCCTCCTCTGCTTTGATCTATGGTAATAGTCTTGATTTTATCTTTTTCCTGTGTTTTACAGTGGTTTGAACTTTATTGATTTGATGGTGCGACAGGGGAATATCGACAACCCTCCTAAAACGCCGCTTGTTCCTGGGTTTGAATGCTCTGGAATTGTAGAAGCTCTTGGAGATAGTGTGAAAGGATTTGAGGTAATATTTTCTTTACTTTTAGAGCAAGACTGAATAATGACCAGTTCACTGAGTATGTTGTCCCTAATCCCTTCTGGCCTGCCAGCGACAGCAGCGTTCACCACACTGAGATTTGAAAGGGCAATTTTTCCTTGCTGCTTCCCAAGCATGAGAATGACCTCTTGAATTTTTTCTAAAGCCACCACGGTCATCTCCTTGAAATCCTTCCTGAAAAGTCACTTGTGCCATGTGCATATCCCAATGGCTAAGTGGGAACTGGAAAGCATGACAGATGTGCTTTAAGAAAGTAAAAGAAATTAAGTTAGCTTGTTAAGTTTCTTGGCCATGTTTGCTATCTTCATTGCTCTATTTCTCAAAGCCCATGCGCTGCTGATTCTAGTTCCAACTTTTGATCTTGAGTTAATGAGACCCCCATCTACAATAAGCGTTGCTTCTTACAACCATGTGCATTCATGAGACAGATAAAATTGCGACCCTGTTTCTGGGATGACTTACTCTGATCACTCAGCAAAAGGATCTAATTCACCTAACAGAATAGTGATAAATGACAAATAATGTATATAATAAAGCTTTCATAACTGGTTGGTATTGTGTACTCTTTGGTATCTCTTATTACATATAAACAGCATTCTGTCCTATCTTCTATTCCATTATTGATGTTAAACATCTATATTCCCTCCAATCTTGCACTTTATTTCATAAGTAGATAGTTTTTGTTTCAAAATTTTTCTGAGTTAATACACGTCAATCCTATCTTAGCTATTTGCTGAGTCAGTCATGTCATCAAGTAATTGTATTTTCTGAATTCTTATTGTATCTTGATCTTAAGAAGGCAATTACCTAAAATATTTTTATTTAAAGGTAACATTTTTGCTCTGCTAAAAGAGCTGTAAAATTTCTCAGTTGAGTAAAGAAAATGGCCAATTTAGTTTCTTGCAGGGCTTCAGTGATGAGCTCTTCTTAGGACACTTCTCTACCTTCCCCCTCCTGCCCCATCTCTGCCTTGAAACAAGTCATAATCTTCCAGAGCTTTTTGTGACAAACAATAACTTTGCTGTTTGAAAAACTATTGCTTCAGTTGTTCCGCTCCAGTATCTGTGTTTTGTAGTCACGCTCCATGCCAAAGAATATTCTATGAAAGGTGTAGAGAAAGTCTCTGCTCTAGATCAGCATTCTCAGTTTAAAAGTTCTTGCTATTTTTAAAGGGCATTATGAGGCTACAGCATATGGTGCTTGTTTGAAAAACATTGCACCTGAATATACGGGGTCTCTCTGAAAGTTCTGTCTTTGTTCTGACTATAGAACATGTTTGTACTCTGGTGTACTCCCTGAAATTGAAACAAGCCATGGTATTTTATTTTTTGCATATAACGTGCATAGCTATGGTAGTGTTTGAGTGATCTAGAAGAAGGGTCGACACTCGGAGTAACTGCTGTGCACGGGTATGAACCCACCAACAGGAGAACGTACCATGAGGAAGGTGCAAGAACATTCTGTTGGTTTCTGTATGGATTTCTTGCACGGAACAGGAGCACGCCAGATGCTTGTCTCCTTGGCATACGCTGGTACCACTGTCCACAGTGATGGCAGGAATGGCAAAGATTGCACCCTACGTCTTCTGACCTTCTTTCAGACCTCTTCTGGTTCAAGTCACATTAAAGTCGTGGGCATTTCATGCTCTGGAAAAGTGTGTCTTACTGGCCCTTAGTCTGTACTACCTGAGATACTACACCTGAGATATTGCCAGCCATATATTGTCTTCATTTGTTGTGATTGCATTATCGTATGACAAATGACAGCATTGAATGGCAGTCCATTTTGACAGCAATGTGTAAGAACATACTTTATATTGAAAGAAAGCCTTTTTTATGGAATAATGGTGTAATGCCTGTTCCTTCTCCTATTTAAAGAAAAAGCTGATTTCTGCTGAGCTCAAATGTATCAGGCCTGATCTCTCTCTAGTTGTGGGGATGATGGTTCTCAGGAACTATGGCCTAATATGATATGATGACTAGGCTCTGTATAGTGTTTGTGATAAAATATGGTATTTATTATTGCTAAGAAATCCCTTGGGAATCACCAAGAGGGACTTCTCTGCATTCTTTTTGGTAATCATTTGTGTTTGTTTGCAAGGATATAGGACATATTAACATCTTCACTCATTAATCCTAGCAGACTTTAGATTTTAGATGCTTCTCTAACAGCAAAAGGGAACCGCAGAGTGGTTACCAGTGAGGCACTGATAATTTGAATGTGCTTTTCAAAAGGAGGAGGCATTTCAGTGAAATTGGAATGACAGTTCTGTTTCAGCATCCTCATTCTGAAAGAGACCCTTCAGAACTGTCGGCAGCACCTTAGCTTTTAGCAAACTTGCAATATCCCAAAGCCAAACTGATGACAGGTACTTGGGAGACCAAAATGTGCTTGTGCTATACACATTTGCCTGAAGGTAAATGTTGTGCTTTACTCCATTCCTGTGGAATATAGTTGAAATAGTGCAAGAGCAACCTGTAGCATTTCTAAAGCATTAGTGGGTATTGGCAGAATGTAAGATAGAGAGTATCAGGCAGATAAGCAAAGGTATTTTAGAGGGACAGCTGTTGTTAGTTTCAGTTAAAACATGAAGTCCTGAAGTTTGATGCTATTCCTGCCTTATTAGTTATACTGTGGCTCCATTGAAGAGCTCCTTTCATGGTTAAGGATGCTATTTTTGTTTGTGTATTATAGAAAGGCAGAGAGGTCTAAGACAAGGTAAAAGATGCATAGGGGCTGCTGGGGACAAGCCGTTATTGAGAGTTTGAGTTGTGCCTATTAAGGTTTTAATGTATATTGCCCAAATGTTTGCTTACTGTGGCTCTCCCTAGTAGCCCCAGCAGACCAATTTCTACTTTGACACGAGTATTGCTTTCCAAGTCTGGTTGTACCCCTGCAGGAGCCTCAGAGCTCCAGTTGCCTTGTTATTATTCTTGTCTGTCTGTGTGGAGTCACTATCTCCATTTTAAAAACTTGAAGTTGCAATGAAGGTCATTATACAAACATATGAATTTGATGTGCCTGGACCTCTGAAAGGCTCCTAGGAGCAACTGACTGTATCTAGTATTAACATAAAAATCTTTATTTCTCCATAGTGAAATACCCTTTCACTACTATATATATTCCGAAGAAACTGAGTAGAGAAATGTTGCATTCGAAGAGAATATTTCATTGCTCCTTTAAATCCTGTCACATTCACTTTGTAGGCTTAGTAGTGCCTCAGAATCCAGAGGTATATTTTTGATGTTTAAGGTGGCTTATTTGAAGTTGCAGGATCAAATTCTGCTCTGACACGTGGCTGTAGAAATTCCAATCATGGAAATGTTTTGGTAGAACCAGTTATTAAGATAATAAAAATAGAGAATGGATACAGTTGGTGTTATCTTCTGAATGAGTGGTTTCTGAACCCTTTCATGTGCTCTATCTACCAGAGTAAAAGGCCTCCCCTTCTCAATCTGCAGAGAGGAAAAGTAGCTCTAAATTAGTGTGAAGACTGAGAAAGCAAAGTGAAACTTAAGTGTAATTTTGTTTATTCCGTGCATCTCATCAATATAATTATAATCTTTTTTCCTTTTTTTTTTCCTGTTTTCTCTAAGCCAATTTCCTGGTTATTAGTAAGAATGCTGTTTTCATTGTTTACAACCCCATTTGTTATTTAGGAGCTCCGCTAGCAAAAGATGATCTGTAGTGGTGATGGTGGAAGACCGCTCCATCAGAGAAGCAGTGTAGCAAAAAAGAAGATGTGGCTTTAACTTTGAATATTTTTGTTAAATTCAACTTTTTAAATAAATACAATTAAAAAATGGTAAAAGCCCAAAGCTGAGCAGCTTCACTGTTACTTTGCTGAAGATGTGGAGCGCCATTATCTTCACAGTGATTCAGTGACCCACAGCTCGAACAGGGAGAGCTGCAGGTCTTACACGTTGCTCTCTACAGTCTCAATTGCAGCCATTGTTTTCTTCCTTGTTTGTAGATTGGAGACAGAGTCATGGCTTTTGTAAACTACAACGCATGGGCTGAAGTAGCATGTACCCCAGTAGAATTTGTGTACAAGATCCCAGATGACATGAGTTTTTCTGAAGCTGCTGCGTTTCCCATGAACTTTGTAACTGCCTACATGATGCTCTTTGAAGTTGCTAACCTAAGAGAAGGCATGTCTGTGCTGGTCCACTCGGCAGGAGGTGGGGTGGTAAGTTGGAACTTTTCTTACTTTCTGGTCATCAAGTAACTGAAGCAGTCTGATGCATCTCCATTTCTGAAACGGGCCAGACCCTGCAGTTTGATTCTGTATCAGACTTCCCTATGTGAGGGATTGCAGTGGGAGGAACTGCATGTTTTCCCATCAAAACACTGATGTGAATGGTTGGCAGGAGCTTTTGGTGAAACAAAAATGTTCTGACAATAAGCTCTACCCAAAAAAACCCCTCCAAAAACCTTTGATAGGTTGTCAGAGATCAAGGAGCAAGTGTTGTCCCAAACATTGCATTCCTGAACTTATGTACCTTGTACTACTTCTATGTAAAAGAAGGCTGTAATGAAAGGAATAAATAAATCAACTCCCTGCACAAGGTATTTGTAGGTAACATAATCCTCCTTGCAGTAAGTGGCCCTCTTGGAATACTCCTGCAAATACCACGTGCAAGCATGTGTGATGCTTTCTTTGTGAAAGACTTTTTTTTTTTTTTTTTTTTTTTTTTTTTTTCCCCCTTCATTGTGGAGGGATTGAAAGCAATGGAAAGCATTATTATTATGCCAGCCCTGAGGAAAATACACAAATGCTGAATTTGAGTCAGTGGTGGCTGCTGCATGTCATAGTTTGGATCATTGGTAAGGAGGAGTTGCATTGCATGGGCAAAGCAACAGTAGGATGAATTTGGTGGAATACCAGGCCACACAATGAAATTAGAAGTCAGCATTTTGTGTTACCAGTTCCTTGAACTATGTTTTAGGAAAATCTCTCTACTTTGGAGAATATTTGAGCTCGTACAAAATATTAAGATACTGACAGGGGAGTTTGTTTACATTTGAAATTATGCAGTCCTTTTCCATAAAACAGATTTTATGACCTGAGAACATTAGCAGACCTCAGCCTTTCAAACTGGAGTACCTTTTCTGTTTTCCTGTTATGCTTTGTTTATGCTAAATTAATATTCTGCTGTCGACTGAGGTCTGGTGGGCAGCCCCAAACACCTTCTCCCTAATTCTATGCCCTTAGACCTTCTTTCAGGTTCTCATATAAAAGAAGGCTGTAATCAAAGGAATAAATTCATGAGTTCCCTGTACAAAGTATTTTTAGCTAACGATAATCCTACTTGCAGTAAATGGTCCTGTTGGAATACTTCTGTAAATGAATGGAATTTATAATCTTATTATGCTTCGGCACAGTACAACCTAGAGCGTTATGGCTGGCTTTATTGTTCTTTAATATTAAATCTTTTCATGTGGAATTTAGGACTGTTAAAGCAACATGAGGCCACGCATTCGGGGGGACTGTATATTCTACAGGAATTGAAGGCTCAGCTTTAGCCATAGGGCCGTTTGCCCAGCTCACACTGTACAGACCCAGGCCGAGCATACAGAATTAGCAAAACACCCAAAAGCAATCCCTGTGCGTATGCATGTATCTAGAGAAAATGAACTCCTTCTCATTAGATAAAGCGTCCTTGCTAGATTTCTTTTATTTCTTTCTCTCTTCCTTTTTCTAACCTCACTCACCTCTGTTATTTCTTCCTTCTCTTCCTGAAGCACTGTTAATGCTCTACCAACTCTCACGTAGTCTTCTTCACTAGTGTCCAACCTCTCTGCTGGGCTGTTCCTGTAAGGAGCTGCTGGCTTCCTCTCTTATCACAGATGCTCAATGAGCAGCTTTTGACTGGTCCTCTGCTGTGGCTGCTTGTGGACCTTCTCTGAGAGCATCTAAAGGAATGATGGGTCCTGGTTGGCTGCCAGGAGAAGAAGGAGAAACCAGATCCATCACCTCCTAAGTAGTTAAATAGAACAGTTTCCAAGGGAAAGACCAGAGATGCAGGGAGAACAGCCAAGCTGGCCAGTAACTGATACAGGTCTGTGTGTGATCCAGGGGGGACTGTGTGTAAGAGGGAGACGGGGCTGGCTGGCCTGCAAGGCAGGGTGCTGGTCGCTGTGTCACTGGGGAGAATGCCTCCTGCAGCCTGTTGTTCCTTGTAAGGGAAGAGCATGTCTAGCTAGACCTGGAAAGGAAAGACTTTGCTTCACTTTGCTTGATAGGTCTTACAGGCAAAATATCACTCTGGAGATGCATGGAATAAAGATTTCAGAGGGATCTGTGTTACTCTTTAAACCGTTCTAATAATCTGTCTGTTAATCCTTTGAAAAATTTAACAGCCTCAATCAAACAAATCATTCTCACAAAGTTCTTAGTTAATAAAATGGAAAACTGGCACTGAAATTGCTACGGGAAGAGGTATTTTTTTGTGCTGTTGCTTTAATAGATAGAAGGCCCGTTCCCACTTTCAGCAAGTGGGAAACCTGTCCAGTTTGTTTCTAAATGTCATAGAAATTCCAGAACACTTTAATGAGACAATAGGCTCCCTGTGGGACTAGAAGTTTGTAATTGTTCCTTTCTCATTATGCAGGATCATTATTTTAGCTGCTTCAGGCAGTTTATGAAAAAGAACTTGTTACTTGAATAACGTTTGTGAGGTTCTTTGTTCTGGCTCCTCAGTCCCCTTTAGGAGGATCCTGCAGCTTTTTCAATAAACGGAGTCAGGGAAAATTCTCTAGGACCTTTATTTATGTATTGCCTCAGTTTGTTTATGTGGCCTTACTTTTGTTTACAGGTATTTTTGGTAGTGAGGTAACTATAGCAATTGTCTTCCCATCTGTGCCTGGGGTATGATTAGTGTGTGACGATATCCTTTTAACGTCTGACAGGATGCTTTAGATAAGTCCAGATTACTTATTCCCAGAAGTTCCAGGGGACATCAGAAGATGATGTAGAGAAAAAGGAAATGTACCAAGATAACTTCTCTTGAAAAAAAGTCTCGCGTACCTGTCTCTCTGTTACAGAGACTTGAATCCTGTTCCATATACTAAACGAGTAGCCTCCCTGCCACCCACTCAGCTGAAAGGTCAGGGCATCATGCGATCTTCGCTGGTCAAGGTGGGAAACGTGGCTAGTTGTAGGGAAGCACCTTGTCTCTCTGAACCAGGAGGAGAGAGGTGGACACTCGCAAACTCTGCTGCTGACGCTGTTGGTATATTGTAGCCTTCCGTCTGAAGAGGAGGACCTGCTGTAGTGCTTAGAAAGGGAGTTTGAAAGGAGAGATTGTATTTGCTTTTGTTTCCTAGGGCCAGCTTGTTGATTTTTGACTGTTTGGAAAGGGGGCTGCTTTGGGGGTTGGTTTGGTTTTCCTGTCTCTATTTCCCTCTTGAGATAGGGGCAGTTAAGAGAGACTGACTCTCAGCTCTCAACCTGGACAGTGAAATAGGCCGGAGAAATTTTAGGGGCCTTGTAGGAAAGCACGGGTACAGGCTCACAGTTGCATTGCGTGCTTCAATCAGACTTCGACGAGAAATTAATACCGTGCAAAGCATTCTGTTATCATTGCTCGAGCTGCTGCTGCCCAAGATCTAACAAGGACAACGGTTGTCATGCACTCCCTTTCAGGCCTCTGCTTGGCAGGACGCTTAACACTTCGGCTTAAACCATTACAGAATCGTAGAATCGTTAAGGTTGGAAAAGACCCTTAAGATCATCAAGTCCAACTGCTAACCTGCTAAGTCCACCACTAAGCCATGTCCCTAAATATTATATTCAATTATATTGAGTAGCAGGGCAGTTCAAACTGCCAGAACAAAAGATAAAATTGTGTAATACAAATAGAGTTTAAATGCTTAAAGCTACAGAAATATTTAAGTGTCCTTCTGAACTGATTGCTGAAATAAGGAGAAAGCTAACACTGAACTTCAGAAACTTCCTATTATCCATACATAGAAATTAATGCTCGGAAATATGAGTTTGCAAGAACATATGGCTTACTGTAGGATGTATATTGGCCTATCTGAACTGTAAAACGCTGTAATTAATGTTTGAAATGACTGTAAGACAATTGTAGAGTAGCTCCCTTCACAAATACACTCCCACGTCTGTCTTTTCAAGTGAAGCAAAGTGGCAACTGAAGAAAATACACTGAGAACACTGAGCGGTAGCATGTACCCCGCTGGGACTGATCTGCTGTGTGAAGCAATTAGTTCTTTAAAATGAAGACTGTTTAAGTCAGTGCATGCAGTGCGCGTCACAGCACAGGCTTGTATGAGATGATAAAATAGCTTTTAAAACTCTTAATGTAAACTTGTAAACTCTATCCTGGATTAGCTGAATTAGTATAAATACAGGACTGTTGTATTTTAAAAAAACCCAACCAAACGAAAAAAAAACAAAGCAAGAAAACTTAGACTCTGCTTTTCGAGGTTTAATGAATCTAGTCTCTATCTCTGTGATATCTACCTGGAAAATGAATTCTTTCAGGGATTTAGATTTGTGAGAGACAGCCATTACGCCCATTTGCTTATTTGTTTGCTCTTTATATACTTCCTATTCTGAATATTTAGAGCACAAAACTTTGGTTATTTACCAAGATTGTGTAAACACTTCAATTGCATCAGTTAACCCCTCAGACACAGGGCAGAATTATTACCCAGTTCTTTACATTTCGATCTTACAGATGTTAAAATTAAGCCGCCTTTCACGCAGGAGCATCAATTGCTATCCTGAAGCTGTGAGCTGACCTTCCCTTTCAGGCTCAGCAGCAGAGGAAGTGCAAGCAGAGTAAGCTACAGATGCAGCTCTCATGTTTGAATTTGAAGGGTAAATCTGACTTGGCAACAGATTTAGGTCATCCTGGCAGCATTGGTTACTGCTTGGCAGGAACCCTCTTTTTTATTGTGTCTCCCCTGCATAAATTGCAAATATTTGAGGATGTGTTCCAAACTGAATCACTGAAGTGGTGATATTTTATTTGACAAAGAACTGGCACTCCTTAGTAAATCTATTCACCCGCTATCGCTGGCAGCATATAGGAACCCTTTCAAGAGAATGATCAGATTTCTCCTTCAAAAAAAAAACAACCTATGTGTTTATCCCTTCAAATTCTCTCTGCTCTGTCTTGCTCGGTCAGAAATCTTTCTCAGTTTCCAGGCTTTATTTGT